CAGACAAAAATGGTCACTTCTTATAAACTAATAGTGGCAACCCATTAAACTTATTATACTTAATTATACCAAGTATAATAAACAAGCCGGAGTATCTGAATAAAACAAACCAAAAATAATTAAAAAGTTGGCGAGAATTCATCCATTAGGAACTCATAACTGAATACAGCAACCCAGAAAATACTAATAAACACGATCTACAACTCTTGAAATAGTGGCTCAAAAATGGTCAAGTCTTAAAATGATAGGATGCGAGTGAGAATATGTGCAGACACATGCACAAAATGTAAGTGAGGAAAAGGGATATAAAACTTAGTAATTATTATGAGCCACTTATTTCATACAAAAAAAAAAAAACAGAAAAGCTAGAACAATTTTCTTCCATTATTACATTATCGACAATCACAGTGTATACAACTATTATTAAACAGATTATGAAACATTCACTATGCTTTTGGACACGTTATACCTCAGAAAGCAAGTAAAATAAAATAGAGTCACTTGAATATTAACAGAGAAAAATACGAATTTTGAGCTTTTCAACTATTTTCTAAATCACTTAGGCAACAGGAGACAGCAAACTCAACTCCTAAATTTTCTGCTTTTAAATTGTTCTTGCCTTCTTGGCGAGGAACACTTTTCTCCTATTGCGTTAGAGAAGATGGTTAGCAGCATAACATCAACTCAAAATGTGATTGGGGTACTGAAAGAATTATTAAAAATCCCATCGTAATAACATGAAACATTATGAAGCAACAGAAGACAGTACCATCCTGCATTCTACCTGACATAGAATAACAACAGCAAGAGCAGCTGTAGTCATCTTTTAAACACCTAAAAGCATCAATGACTAACGAAGATTTAACAAACACCTCTAACTTCAATCATCACAGGAAACGACTGCTCAAAATAGTCACAACAATCAAACAGGATATCACCACTCTACTACACTACTCCAAATCTAATAATCAGAAAATACTAATAACAATCACTAACAAGAGAAAAACTATGACAAATACCACACACAAAAGGAAAGTGAAAATGAGTGAGATGTGATAAGAATAAAATACAGGAAAATGCACCTCGACCAGTGCAGCTTCCTTCCTGGTCAAAGATCCGACTATAGAAGGGGAAAGGCCAACATCCCTAGCTCCAGCAATTAGAGCTGCTTCGGTCCATCCCAACTTTATCTGAAAAGCCACAATTTCAAAATCACTTTGGCTTGTCGCTATTATCAGAAAAAACCCTTGGAATTTATATACACGATAAGAAACAAACACGTGGATATGAGTTTCGGAAAACTGAATTATCAAAATATAGTAGAACGAGGACGGAATTGAAAAGAAGAGGAATAGGATAAATAAACGAACGACGTAAGGGAGCGAGGCCTGAAGCACGCGAGCTTGTTGGTCCTCGTAGTTGGCTTTAGGGTTTGCGGCATCTTCATCCGTTGACGAACTGGAAGAAGCTGAATCTAAAGAGTTAGGGGTTTCGGTGGTTGTGACGACGGGAATGCCACGGTTGATAGAGTGTGGATCAGGAAATGGTTGAGGCTCTGATGTGAAAAAGCGCGAAGAGAGTAGCAATTTCTGAGGAGGCCGGCATCGGAGGCCATAGTTGGTATTGTAGTAGTACCTTGCACCGCCCAACAGCCGCTTCGCCGCCGTTCGATACATTTCGCCACCACTAGTGTGTTTGGAAAACGCATGAAGGAGTGATAGATGGGTTTTCTCGTTTGAAAGAGGACAAAAATAGTTTGAATTGACACGTAGCAGAGAAAATGTGTGCCACGTATCCAACTATCTGCCAAGAATAATAAAATCATAGTTTTGAAATTTACTTACCTTTTCTATAAATGTAATTTTAATCTTACAAAATTTTAATTACCGAGATTTTTTTTAACAACATTATTTTTCTTATAATTTATCATCTAATTATTTGTCTAAAATTTTGTACGTATATAAATAATAATAATAATATCAATTACTTATTCACATAAACTACTTATAACGAAAGTCAATAATTAAATTTAATATATATATATATATATTATTCTGTTGAATATACTAATATTTGAATAATATATTAAGAATAAAATAAAATTACTTAATTTTAGTAAATTGAAGGATTAAATATACATGATTAAAATTTTCATATAAATCAAATATATAATTACAAAATTACAAGAATAAAAAATGAATTTATATAAATATGAAAGAAGTTTTAACTTGTTCAACAATATGTTAAAAAAAGTTATAAGAAAATATGAACATAGTTTTTTAAACAAAATTAAATTTATTTATGGTATTCTAGATTGAGAATAAAAGACTATGCTCGTTTTTATTTAACATGTCTATAACTTTAGCTTCAAGAATTATTATTGGATTTCATTCCATCTTAGTACAGAATGATGAGAGATAAATAATGCTTCATTGCAACTCCATCCTTTCCTTTTTACACCTCCAAAATGACTAATATACCCTTATACTTTAAAAGAAAAAAATATTAGAAAAGTAACTGGATTTCATATATTATATTAATGGATTTCATATATTATTGCATCTCTCACTCACTCTTTGTGACATTCATTCATTCTCTTTACATTTCTATATGATTTTCGGGTGTGTATTTGTGTGGTTGGTGGTGGTTAATGATTGTGCTTCGTGGTAGTTTTATTTGTCGTTGGTGGTGGTCCTTCTCATTAAAGGTAAGTGGAAGTCTTTTGAAAAAATGAGCTCTTTTAATCAGTTTCAAAAGCTAATTAAGAAAAAAAAATTATTTTGAAATACATTTTTTTAACTGACTTTCAAAAGTCACCCAGCTTTCTAAAAGTAAAAAAAAAAACATATTTCTAAATACATTTCAAGAATAAACATATTTCAAAATAGGTCTAAAGAGATGCATTTCAAATTAAGTTGTTATTTGTTTATAACTCTTATTTTAGAAATATTTAATTTATCCATCTTAGACTTGCAAGTTGGTTGTAATGACATATCAAAATAATTATAGCATGACTCTGGAACTATTACACTTTTTCATAACAATTAATATACCAAAATAAAGATCACAATTAGGTTAAATGTATTTTATTATATATTTAATGTATTATTTAATTACAATATCTCAAGTCTTAATATGATCATATAATTAACCAAAAGATAGGACTATCAAAACCTATTCTTGATAGACTTCGATAAGAGGTGACTAACTTGATGATTTAAACGTTGAAGCATTGCTCGTAAACATACATTCCATTATGTGTACATTCTTTATGGGGTTTGAAATAATTTTTCATTATAGTTACGGTTTCACTCACAGATATTGAAGATGCATCTTCGGTCAAACACGTGCCGTTTTAAATAAAAAAAAAATATGTAAGTTATGACTATATTATGGATACAGAGTCATGACTAATCTTTATATTGTAATATGTATTAGAACCTTTTAATTTTCAGGAAAAAAACCATTGACACTTTATTAATTGCATGCGTAATATACAAGTGTGTAACCACAAAAAGAGGTAATAAAAACATATAAACAAAAACATATGGATAAAACTTAGGACATTAGACATTTGGGAAGGAACTTGTATTAACTAACTTTAAAAGAAAAAAAAAAGATGTACAAGAAGAAAGGAAAGGGGACGGAAGGGAGAAATGAAAAGCAATCCCTTGGATTTGATATAGGAGAAAGAAAAGAAGTGGTAAATCCCAAAATTGTGATAATACAGTGGGGATGCTGCTGTCTAAAAAATGATTTCATTTTATAAGAATAGCATATAATTTACAAGGGCTGCTATCAGCAGAAAAGAGGCACGGCATTGGACTTTGACATTTCTCTTTCTTGACAAGGACAAAAAAATGGGCAAAACTCCAAGCTTCAGCATCTTTCAATTTATGCCCTATTTCGTAATATTTGTACTCAGATACATGACATGATAAAGTTGATTAAAAACATGTCACCATGCATGCATATGCCTCCGATTTTCCTCCCCCTCGTGCCTTTTTTTCTCTCTCTCTCTCTCATCATTCATTCTCTTTCGCCCAGCGTGTGTGTGTGTGTTTGGATCACATGCACAGAGTCATTAGTTGTCGGATATGTGAAGAAGCTGAAGAGCAATGTTTCCTAGGCCTGCACAATCTCACCTACAAAAGGCAACTCTGTACTAAGCTAGAGATATTGACAGAACAACCATTAAACCTGAACCTCCTCTATCCTCCTAATGGCTTCTTTCATGTTAAGTCGTTGGTCGGGGTTGCTCTCCGTGCAAGCAGCCCCTATTTGGAGAAGTTGCAGCATTTGATTCAGGGAGTTAGAGTGACTGCTCTTCAACTCTGGATCGATCAATTCCGCCTCTCTTCTGTCAGAGATTGCAGTTAGCACCCATTGCACCACGTCAGTGCCACCCTTGCCATTGCTGTGATACTGAGAAGGGAATTTCCCGGTGATCACCTCAAGAACGATGATTCCCAGGCAGTAGACGTCGGTTTTCTGTGTCACACGCTGGTATGTTACGTAATCTGGAGTTTTGTATGCAAACATTGTCTGTACGGCGTAGTTGTGGTTCATGAGAGGATGAAAGGCGAAATCTCCGAGGAGAGCTTCGTAATTATCAGTTAGCAGAACATTGCTTGATTTCAGGTTTCCATGTGGCAGGTCTTCGCTAGAAAATTCTTTATACAGAAACCCTAACCCTCGTGCTATTCCCTTCACGATTTTCAAACGGATTGGCCAGTTCAGGTCCGAATGACTCGATCCTCTGTCACCTGAAAAACATTTTACCGAATCTCCTTTAATTATACATATCACTGTATATATTACCTTGCATGCATATAATTTTCATTACTCCAATATGTTTTTGAAAATGAAAATGAATAGTTAGAAATGAAGGTGGTACCGTGCAAGACGTATAACAAGCTTCCTTTGGGCATGTACTCTGTGACGAACAGCTTCTCCTCCTTGCGGTAATGGTAAGCGAGAGGCGTGATGATGTTAGGGTTTCTGATTCTTCCAAAACGTCTCATCTCGGCGTCGAAGATGTCTCTGCTCACTTTATTCATCTCCCGCATCCGCTTTACCACCACAGACAACCCACTGGCCATGGCGGCTTTGTACGCCGAACCCAGCCCACCGTTTCCGAGAACCTCCGCCGCAGCCTTCATCAGATCAGGCAACCCAAACGTGCCCCTCTCGTCGTTCACCATCACGAGGTCACCAATACTCCGCCCCGCCCCTTTCTTCGACGTCGTCGACTCCTTCTTGCTCCCATCGGAGGTTCCCCTGCTGTGGTTGGTGCTTGGCACGTGCACCTGCACCACCTCTTCCGCGTTATCCCTGCTCATCACGCTGAAGTCATCGTCGCGTTGACGCTTGGATCGCGCCATGACGAAAACGCCGGCGAGAACAGCTGCAATGAAGATGATAATAACCACCTTCAATCCCCAACCGGGGCCTTCACTGGCTGCGGACTCACACGGTTTATCCAGCGGCATCCCGCAGAGTTCAATGTTGCCGGAGAAAGATTTGGCGTCGAAGCGCGACATGGAGATGGGGATCGGGCCTTGGAGCTTGTTGTTGGAGAAGTCGAGTGATTTGATGTCCTGTTTAAGTTCGGGGACGGGGCCGGAGAACTCGTTGTTCTCGAGATGAAGCTCGGAGAGGAAGCGGAGGGTGGTTAAGGATTGGGGGACGGGGCCAGAAAATTTGTTGTTGGAAAGCCATATTTTCTTCAAGGAGGCTAACTGGGAGAAGAAGTCGGAGGGGATGGGGCCGGAGAACTTGTTGTTGGTCAAGTAGATGGCTTTGAGGACTCCGAGTTTGTTGAAAGGAGGAATGGGGCCGGAGAAGTTGTTGTTGACGAAGCTGATGGAGCGGAGAGAGGGGATCTGGGAGAGGGCTTCGATGTCTATGGTGCCGGAGAGGGAGAGGTCGGTGAGATGGAGGCTGTTGATGACGTTGTTGACGCAGATGACGCCGACCCAACGGGAGGAGCAAGGGTTCTGGTCGGGGACCCAGGAGGAGAGGGATTGGGGGTCGGAGAAGGATTTTTTTAGGTTGAGGAGAGCTTGGTTATCCGAGAGAGGATGGGAGAGAGGGAGGAGGGAGAGGAGGAGGAGGAAGAAGAATAGGCGAACAGCGGCCATCGCCGTGCCGGAAATCTTATGCGTCCGGGAGAGAAATGGGCCGCTGCTCGGAAAGATTGAGGTTCTCTGATTGTTTTGGATTTGCCTTTTTTTGTTTTGTTTGTTGAATTTGGGTACCCACCTACGGGAATGGAAAACTACCTGGCTAGGTTGTCGTGCGTGTTTGAGAGATGGAGCTCCCACAATTACCACCATTCTAACAATAGCTACCTCGCTCTCTCCTTCAAAATTTTCCCATTAATTTCGCCCACTCTTGACCCTGTCACCTTCATTTCTGGCCTTTGCCTTTTGCGGCTGTCAACCACTCATCCATGCACGTATTTTCCCTCCACCTCCCATGCATCCCTACCTCTTTCTCTCATCCTATCTACTCTATCTACAATATAAATAAACCAAACATACCTCTCTAATATTATCTCTTTTCTATTCTTTTTATTATTATTTTAACGTTAGATTTTTTCCATCCATCAATGTTAAAAATAGCATCTCCAAACTAGTAGCTGGTTTCAACTTGCAAAGTACACGTAGTAAAGACTAGACTGAGTTAACCAAATTTTACACCAATAACAGTTCATCTTGAGCGTAAAGCTTAACACTGAATTTCACTAATTTTAATAAAATTGCTCTTTTTTGTATTTAACTTAGGGTGTATGTGCTGATATGAATGTTGGAAAGGTTCATAAGAAGGAGGCTCGTCTGCATCAAGCTCCAACCATGTTGGATTGTGTTTCATGGTGTTTGATGGTTAATGAACTATAAAGTCGGTACACCATCTAATATTTTGAACACATGTTATTTTTTCATTAATTTCATTATTTATTTATCATTGCACTCATGTATTTTAAATTTAATGAGAAAATGACGTATGTTTAATCAAAATATTATTTCATTGTAAAAAAAAATAAGAAAGCATAAAAAACAACTAGACTATGAAGAAAGTAAGAGAGTTAGGAGAAGAGGTTTACCTTTCAAAAAACAAATGTGATGGAATGATTTAGAGGAGGAATATAAAATAAAAAAAATTAATTATGATATTAAGAAGAATAAAAAAACTATCATAAACATAACCAGATATGATATATTTGTTCGTGTTTTAAGCAAAATCTAGTAAGTCAATTATCACATGATTCTCTTCATCTAGACAACAAAGTTTCCCCAAAACAACGTATACATTAGAATTTCTTCTCAAATATATCAAGTGGTTTATTGCAATTTAAAAAATATACATCAAGTTTTCATGAAGAAAAAAATGTATGAATTAACCTGAATTATTATAAAATTAAACTAAATTTTAAAAACAATTTTAAAACTATTATGAACTATTTAAACTATATATAATACAAAATATCATATTTAAAATATTATCTTTATGTATAATTAACTCATTTTAATGTTCTTTTGATGTGAAATATATTGAAACATTGCTAATTTTAAAGTTTCGAACTCCATTACCATTTTGTCTTGATATAAGACGTTCTAAGATTGTGATTTTATTCTTTAAAAATATAAAAAGAATGTATGTTCAAATGACTTTTAATCTTGGCTTTAAGTTATATAATTGTTCTGAACAAATATCATGAAGAATAATCAATTTTGGACTATATATAAGCATAAATAATCATGTTACAATAAAATGTTAAGAATTTGTAAAATAATTGTTTATAGATTTGTTTAAGTTCGTATGTAAACTTGTTTGACTTGCAAACTAATTCTTTTGTTGATATTTTGTTATTTATGTATATATATTTTTTTAAATAATTCACCATTTAAGAAATTAAGAATGTATTATTGATATTTAATTGTTATTTTACAGTGATAATGACTAATAAAACCTTACAAAAGCTATTTCAACCTATGTCTATATAATCTTTGGTTACCAAACTTTGTATTTATTGATTGAACCATCAACACTGTATTCGATTTGAAAACATATTTGCACTCCTATGCAATGTTTGCTTTCGGATGAAGGAATTAATATGTAGTTATTTTCCAAATTCTTAATCTCTTATTAATCTCTTAAGTCACAACATCTCTCCATTTAAGATAGAAAACCACTTTATGATATAATTGAGACACATCCACGTGATCATCAGCAATGAAGTATTCTTGAAAAACTTTCATTATAAAACAAAGTTTAAATGTTGGAGACAGAATTCAACAAAACTATTAAAACTATTTGATTTTATAAATTGAGACTTTAAATAGAATGTTTATTTAAGGAGCCCTCATTTATAGAAATTTAATTATATGTTAAAGATACAAAAATGATTTATTACATAACTTTTGTATCATATCTTCACCTATACACCCAATAAAGAAACATAATAAAAACAAATTAAAATGTCCTTATAAATCACTGATTATTTTCACGTTTAGAGAACTAACCTTAATTTGAAAGTAACACTCAATTACACGCATTCGTCAATCACTCATCGGGGTGTAGTTCTGTTGTTAACCTCATTGTCATACTGCGATATTCTTCTTGCTTTCAAAGTAAAGTAATGATATTTTGAATGAATTTTGCATTCTACATGTCAAATGTGCATGTTAACATAAAAAAAATAGTGTTACAAATATTATCCAGACACAATAAATAGACTTATTACATAATTTACCTTTGAAAGGAACTTTAAAAAATAAAATAAAAAAGAGTTAATAATCTACCACTCTTTTACTTTTTAGAGTTTAATAACTATGTATAGTTAAATGATATTTTTTCTATATTTTACTTATCTAAATCAAAAAATTTAAACAATTAAATATAAATTTAATTTGATTTGAGTTAACGAAATAAGAAAAAGTTAATTATCCATCAATGTGTTACCTTTTAGAGTTTAGACAACATTTGATCAACAACCACCGATGGAGACATTATGCGTAGGAGCTAAACAAATGAGAAAAGATGTTCTTTGAATTTGATATGAAAAGAGAGAAGTGATTAAGAAAATGAACTTAGAGTGTTTATGAAAGTTGTTGATTCAAGTGTATATAAAATTACATAAAAAGCATAAAAGTTTATTTTTTACGGAGAGAGAAAAAATTGAATGTGGGTGTGGAGGCAGTGAAATTGTAAAAAAAGAAAAATAGGGAGGAAGAATCGAAGGATCCATGTGGAAGGTGATGGTAACTTAGATTTTGAAGAGAGTGTTGTTTCCGTATCGTTGTCTTCGGACCCAGCTTCCAGTTCCACTCTGAGACCTTCCCTTTCAATTCACTCCAAATCAAATTCAATTTCATCATTCGATCAGACCCTCCTTTTTTCTCCAAGCCAATCCATGAGTTTCCATTGACCCACGTCTCCGTCACCTGCCAAATCCAACCCCGCTTCGCAAAATGGTGGAGACCTCCACGCTAGGGCGCTTCCACCACCAAAGGCTCGACCTTCGCCGCTGGCTCCCCGCCTTCCTCACCTCGCACAAAACCCTCTTCACCGTGCTCTGGATCGCCGCCTTCGCCTCCCTTTTCCTCTGGCAGAGGAACATTGTCGGCGGCTTCCTCGTCTTCGGCGCCCCTCCGGCCAGGCCCATGCCCAAGCTCCGCCCCACCGCCTTCAATTTGACGGATTTCGGAGGTGTCGGTGATGGCGTCACTATCAACACCGAGGCCTTCGAGAGGGCGGTTTCTGCGATTTCGAAGTTTGGGAAGAAAGGCGGTGCGCAGTTAAATGTGCCTCCCGGACGCTGGCTTACGGCGCCGTTTAATCTTACCAGCCATATGACTTTGTTTCTAGCTCAAGATGCTGTTATTCTCGGCATTGATGTCAGTTATCGTTCTCCCTTCTTGCCTTTTTTTTAACTTACTGTTAATTTTGTACTGTTTGTGTTGTTATTTTTAATATGAAGGATATTAGGGGAAGTTGTTAAGGTGGTTTGCACGTGTAACAAAAGAAACAGTAGTGAAGAGAGTGGATTGTGTGATCTTTAGTGTTGTGAAACTACGGAGAGAGATTGGGGTAACTTGTTAAGGGATCTAGTAGTAAACAATTTCTCTGGAAAAATGTCTTTAGCCTGATCGAACAGCGTTGTGCTGTCTATTTAGCTGACGTTACCTAATGTTATTAAATGATGTATTGTAAGAGTAGAACTGCTTTGTCATTTATAGATTTTTTCAAGGCTTGGTGGTTGTAGTTTGGCACTTTGGTTATTGTGACGGCAGTTGTTTGGCCCAATTTTTCTTTTTAAAATAACCTTGGGTTTTATTCTAGCTTGAATATTACAATACCTTGAGTCCATCTTGCCAAATGATTGGGAGATAGAAGGTGATGTCATCGACAAGATCCAAGAAGGTTTGCATGAAATGGAACAAATCTTGTGATATGTGATAGAAAAATACCACACAAGCTCTTCGATCACGGAACCATATGATCTGTGTTGTTGTACGGGACTGAGTGTTGAATAGTAAAGAAATGCAGTTACATGTGGCAAAGATGGTATTACATTGATGGAGTTGTTACAAAAGGCAAGACAGGATTAAGAAGATGGTCATTAGAGAGAAAGCTTGTGTACCTCCCATTATAGAAAAAAAATGGTAGAATTTCGTCTTTAGATGGTTTAAGCCTATTTTAGAGAACACTTGAAGAAGCACCAGTGAGGAACATTTATCATGTAGAAGATAGTTCAATGGTTAGTGATAGTGGGAGACCAAGCAAAACTATTGGCCAAATCATTAAGCGACATTTGGAGCTAAATTGTTTATCTTTTCACTTATACATGATAAAACTTTTGGTGTTTTACAATCTATGTTGCTGATCCCTACCTAGTGGGAAAAGGATAATCTGTTCCTGTATTGCTGTTTTGATATGTAAATTTCCATTGTGGTAGACATATACTTCAATTTAGTACAAGAGTAATGATCAAGCTTGGAGCAAAGTATGGTAGGATTACTGAAGAGGTCCTCGAATTATAGGTGATCAAATTGATATAAAGAGCTGTACAACATGAAATAATAACAGATAGGCTTCTGTTTAGGTCATATGCTGTTGTTGTACAACATAAGAAGTCCTAATTAAGATTTAAAGAGTAAAATATTGCTTGATTTATCTTTTTGAAGAGTTACTGTACCTAGATGATAACAAACTTTGATTTTGTCAAGAGTCAGTCTTCTGGTTTGCTGAATTTCTTCATACGAGCCACATTTCTGTAAAGTATGTATCGACAGTTGGAAACATACCCATCATAAATTTACAGGTCTACGTTGTGCACTTAGCTTTGAGAGGGAGAATTTGGACAGTTGAACTTAATATCAATGATCTAGATATTATCACTGTTGAATTTAGCTTAGAGGAGTGCTATCGATTCTTTTTTTCCAAATCACATCATTGAGCTCTTCAATTATGGTTACTTATATTTGTAGTTTTGTCTTTCTCCTTGATAAATCTATCTCTTACATTGTATATTCCTTCCACTCTCATATTTAAACATTTTACTTACACTATATTTGTCACTTATGTGATGGATGACAGGATGAAAAATATTGGCCACTGATGGCTCCATTGCCTTCATATGGGTATGGGAGGGAGCTTCCTGGTCCACGATATGGCAGTTTGATTCATGGTCAAAATCTTAAAGATGTTGTGATAACAGGTTAGGATTTTTTATCGTGCCTACAATGTTTGAAGGACTAAAAAGTCATCATTGTTCTTGAGTTCTTTATTTAGTATCACTGAGATTGGAAAATATGAAAAATATCTAAGAGAGTTCAATGATCTCTTTGTGGATTTATATTTATACTGACACTTGAATCAGTAGAGAAACAAAAATGATATGATGATTTACACATAGGTGTGAAATAGGTAATAACAGATGATTAAGCTATTCTATCAAGTTAACTCTTTCACATAAATTAAGCAATGCTAATGCTCTTCCTCAAGTTGCAGCATTGAAATAGTATGTACCAAGCTTGAAACATAAATTTCAGAGTTCTCTCAAGGACTTGGTCTAAATGAGTGATGTGATTGCCTTGTATTCAACTTTGACACTAGATTTAACAACATTTCATTTCTTGCTTTTCCAAGAAATAATATTTTCTTCAATGAAAATACAATAGTTGTGGAATGCCGATCTATAAGAGTTCCTACCCAATCAATATCACAACTGATTGGACTAACCACAGGTTTACAATTCATATCTATTTCTTTTAGAATATCTAAGGCATTTTTTTTCCTGAGAAATAACAATACCTTCTTTTGATTGAGCTACTTTGATACCCACAAAATACTTAAGACAGTCAAGATCTTTGGTCTAAAAAATGATTGCATAAATGCTTCTTCAATTGAAAAATTTTAGAGGCATTATTCCCTCTAATGACTATATCATTAACTCATATAATTAAGTACACACATTTCTTAAGAGAGGTATGACCATAAAAGACTAAGTGATCTATTTCACCATATTTCAAGCCAAGTTTGTACAATGTGGTTGAATTTGTCAAACCAAGCATGGAGAGATTGTTTAAGATTGTAGAGAAATTGATGCAATTTACTAGCTAACTCACTCCCTTGAGCAACAAACTCAAAAGGCTGCTCCATATATTTCCTCTTCAAAATAACATAGAAAGAAATTCTTGATATCCATTAATGGAGGGACCGATGACAAATAACAACCATGGTAATGAAGAGTTGAACAATAGTAAATTTTGGTTATAGGAGAAAATGTGTTAGGTTCTTTATCCAAGAACCTAGGAAAAACTCACTTCCTACTCTGCAAACACACTCTCTGACAAAGAAATACTTCTTTTATTCACTTTCAATCAACAGAAAGAATACAGAGAGCTTAACCTCTCCCCCTCAGGACAATGAGTCCTGATCAGCAAATTCACTAAGGTCCAAAAAAAAATCACTCCCCCAACTGATCACAACTATTTATACAAGTTCAAAAGCTTTTCCCCGCGCCCTCTAACTGCCCAAACAGTTAGACCAACTAACTATGTTTCTTTCTTCTCTCATATACTAATAACGGTCTAACATAATGTATCACCATTATCAAGATTGTATATGTGTATGTACCCATTGGCAACCAATCTCACTTTAAGGCAGTCAATTTTACCATCTAGCCCAACTTTAATAGCATAAACTCGCCTCTGTCCAATTGTCTTCTCAGGTAGAGGAGAAAAACAAGTTCCCATGTGTGATTCTAGTCAAAGTGCTTCTTATACATTCTTAGGAATAATGATAGAGAACACATTAAAACAAAGGAGAAAAAAGGAGACAACAAATGATAACTTAGAAAGTTGTAAATAGGATGAGGATTTTGGTAGAGCAACTACCTTTCCAAAGAGCTTTTGGTCAGGCAAGGTCTTCATTATTGAGAGTTGTTGTTAGGTTTCTGCGTAAGAGACCTAACTATTCTCGCAACACCCACTCACGCCAACGCCAATAACAAGAGAAAACAAAGGAAATGTGTATAAACTCTGTAATCGTATGTATTCACTGTAATTGTAAAACGAAAACAATGACAACTCGAGAACCTAATCCCCCTCAACAAGGTCCAAGACCTGTTTACAAACATAAGGAAAAGACTGACTACCATCAGATGCGCCCTCGTGATCGCGATTACGGCCTCCCAACATATGAATGACTTCTTGAAGATCTTGGCGGATGGCCGCCGTATCTTGTCTCAATGACGTTGTTTCGACCTTTAATCCATCTATAGCAACCTCCACCGCGTCTAGCCGGCTCTCTACCACGTTCAAGCGTCCCTCATTTCTTCCCTCCATCTCTCTCATAAGGATCCTGCAGGTCGGACCAATTTGTTACCACCTCTCCCAACTTAGCTAGCCAATCCATACCCAAAATTAGGTCTACACCCCCTAATTCAAACACATAATACTGCTCTGTGATCTCTACTTCTCCCATCTGTAACACTACTCCCTTGCAACATCCTAAAGTTTTCTTCCTCTGTCCATCGTAAGATTGCTTCCACCTTCTCCCGATCCATCTCTACCCCTTTCTCAGATATTAGATGGCCTAAGTACCTGATATGAGTTCTTCCAAATTCACATTTTTTTGTGGTTGGCGACCCATCGTTGCTGCATCAATATATTCAACACACATCCCACATGCTCCAAATGATCTCTCCAAGACTTACTATATACCAGAATATCGTCGAAGAATACCAAAACAAACTGCCTCAAGTGTTGTTTCAACAAGGCATTCACTGCACTCTGGAACGTGGCCGGGGCATTGGTGAGTCCGAATGGCATCACCAAGAACTCGTAATGCCCTTGGTGCGTCCTAAAAGTTGTTTTCTGGATGTCCTCCTCACCCATTCTGATTTGGTGGTAGCCGGCTTTGAGATCTATCTTAGAGAAATATTTTGCCCCTCTCAGCTCATCAAGCAATTCTTCTATCACGGGAATGGGGAACTTATCTGGTATAGTCACCCTATTGAGAGCTCTATAATCTATGCAGAATCGCCAACTTCCATCTTTCTTCTTGACAAGGATGACTTGGCTAGAATATGGGCTAGTGCTGGGCCGAATAATCCCCATCCTCAACATTTCCTCTTTTCATAAACTTTCCACTTCCTAACAGTTGTGGTATGGGTCGATGATGGTGAAGGAATTGGAAGAAGGGAACTTACATGGTAACGATAGAGCAATATCCTGTGTCCTGCATCGATAGAACAGAGGAGGTGATGAAAGCTTGGGTGAACTTGGAATAAGAGAGGGATTTTGAGAAGTGGTTTGATTTGGAGTGTCATGAGTAGGGGATGGCAATGATTGAACAGTGAATGCATTGCTTGATGAGATGAACATGACAACTGAAAGACAACGGCCAGTAACGTTGGACTGTAGTGGACAACAGTGAATGCATCAGAGAGTGACGAATAGAGCTGAATCAACCTCCTCTGATTCCAACTTGAGGCTTAAAAATATGAAAAGTGTAGAGAGTTCAATGGTCTCTTAGCTTATTCATTCATTTATGTGGATGCTTACATTAGTAAAGAAACAAAAATGATATGACGATCTACAAATAGATGTCATATAGGTAATACAAAAGATGAGTTAACGTATTCTAGCAAGTTAACTCTTTCTCATAAGTTAAGCAATTCTAACATTATCTAATGTCATTGTAAGCACATTAAAGTTTAAAGTCTCAATGAAATTAATATTGTTGAAACTTTTCCTTAATGTTTATTTGATTTTGATATATTTTCAAAGGCTAAAGCATTTGGTGAACAACAACCAGAATAGTTCCTTATTGACTTATATTGTTTTAAGTGTTCATATCAATTGGAATCAATTATATTTCTATATTTGAAGAGAGATGAATTGATTTAGCATTTACTAATACTTCCTTGATCTATTTTAGTTTGGTGATTGATAAACAGCCTGGCACCCTATACCTCATTTAAGGTAAAAGGCTTAGCATAGAATTCTTTTGTGAGCAATACAGTAATTAGGAGGCAATAATTATCAGGATAAGCAATCCTAGAACTGCAATGTTTTCCTCTTTTATCTCATCCTCCTCTTACCTAATGTGTTGCTTAAGCATTATTTATAAATTTATTTGATTCCATCTATTGTCATAACTGACAGGGCATAACGGTACCATAAATGGCCAAGGACAAGCATGGTGGCAAAAATTTCGCCAGAAGCGTCTCAACCACACTAGGGGGCCACTTGTTCAGATCATGTGGTCTAGTGACATTGTGATCACTAACATTACTTTGCGTGACTCTCCTTTCTGGACACTTCATCCGTATGACTGCAAAAACATCACAATAAAAGGTGTAACTATACTGGCTCCAGTGTTTGAAGCTCCAAATACTGATGGCATAGATCCTGGCAAGTATCTTCTACCGAATACAAAACTTTATTTCATATCTTAATTGTGTGGTCTATAATTTGGTAATTAGTTCTATCCTATCAATAAGGAAATAGATCTCGACAATGGGGTTAGGGTAGCTTCATCTTGATAGTTGGAAATAACAAAAAAACCAACCTGAAGAGACTTCATGTTTAGGAAGTTGCATAGAAGGGAATTAGTATTATTATGTATGGTGGAAAAAAGGGTGGAAGCTTAATCCTGGACATATTTTGATTTTTATGTCTAACTGAACCATTCAAAGTATGAATATGTACTCGGATTGATTCAGTGGGAAAATTATTATACTGGCAGGAATAGGTTAATTGATCTTTTTTCTTCTTTTTTGGGTAAGCTTGTGTGAGGTGTCGGATTTTTGGGAATTGTGTTTCAAACATGTGGGTTATTAATTTTAGAACTTAGTTTTGCATAACATATGTGAGATGTTTGGTTGTGCACAAACATGATTCACAATTTATCTGGCACTGGTTATACTTTATTTGCTAAGTGTTTCAATTATCAAACTGAGGAATCTAAATTTAATTGTAATGTTCATCTAATTTTATTGTTTGTGAAGAATTTTAGTAATCCCTACTTTCTATGGTATGAACAGACTCTTGTAAGGACATGTTGATAGAGGACTGTTACATAAGTGTGGGAGATGATGCAATTGCAATAAAAAGTGGCTGGGATCAGTATGGAATTTCATATGGAAGGCCTTCCATGAATATAATAATCCGAAACCTTGTTCTTCGCTCTATGGTCAGGTAAAACCCTAACAAGGCCAATTCGTATGAAAATAATCTGCTAACCTTTCAGCGTCTTTTTATTTGGGAAAATAATCACCTACTTCAGGAAGCTTCCTGAAAGAGCTTTTCCAAACGTATGAAAATAAACTGCTCTTATATGCCTGCATAAATTTAAGAACCTAAGTGCAAATGAATTCCATGTATAGCTGCTGGTCTGTGATAGAATGCAACTTGTTTTTTCTCATCTCTGCATACTGTTGTAATATAAATACCCTAGGATCTCGGGTTTCATGTCTTATCTGGCTTTATCAATCACCTGAACGTATAGCAGTACAGTGTATGCCAAGCTATGCAATTCTACTAATTATCAACCAACCAGCATTTACATGTTTGCCATTGTGGCTTACCTGATTTAGTTTTAAGATTTGTTTATTCTTCCACCAGCATGAAACCGTGTGTAATTTGTGATTGGTTTGAAATCACCTCACTCACAGGATCTCTGTAATATGTTTTTCATAAGCTCCGGATTAGTTAACGGCTGTCAAACTGATGACAACTTTTCCCATTGTGCATAAATCAATCTCAGTTAATGTTGAGGAGAACTGGTTGCTAGTCTGTGTCTGTCTGTCTATAATAACATGTATTGAGTTCTTCATATCTTCATAATTTTGTTATGAAATGAAACAGTGCTGGCATCTCAATAGGCAGTGAGATGTCTGGCGGAGTATCCAATATCACGGTGGAGAATGTTGTTGTATGGGATTCTAGACGTGGTGTGAGGATCAAGACCGCCCCTGGACGAGGAGGATACGTGCGCCAAATAACTTATCGGAATCTGACATTTGAGAATGTCCGTGTTGGGATTGTGATGAAGACAGATTACAATGAACACCCTGATGATGGGTATGAACCCACGGCACTCCCAATTCTGACAGACATAAGCTTTACCACGATCCATGGCCATGGGGTTCGCGTGCCAGTACGTATACACGGCAGTGAAGAAATTCCTGTGAAAAATGTGACTTTTCAGGACATGTCAGTTGGTCTAACCTACAAGAAGAAGCATATCTTTCAGTGTGCTTTTGTTGAAGGCCGTGTAATAGGGACCATCTTTCCTGCTCCCTGTGAGAACCTTGATCGGTACAATGAGCATGGACATCTGTTTAAGCGTTCTTCGTCTCAGAATGTCACAGATATAGATTATGATTTTTGAGGTCTCATCTTCATTAAATCTCGGCCTTGTTCCTTTTACGTAGGCCTCAATTTATGTCTGTATTACATGATTTTTTAGGAGGTTGGAGAAGTCAAGTCCCACTTTTTTTCTTTTCTGAAGTGGAGTTGTAAATACAGAAAATTTTCATATGCTTACCTAAGTTTACTAGATTATACGATTGCGTAGTCCTTTTGCTTTGGCCAGTTTATTGCAAGCTAGATCTTTACACTTATTTCTCATTGTGCTCTCATTTTATCTGCCGAGGAAGATTAGTGCAGTCCTGTTTCAAGCTTCAATCATATGTCACTTTATTCGATAATTTTATATAGAATGTATCTTTTTCATTTTAACATACATACTCTTAGTTATTTGTGTCAAAACTAAATAACAGTATAAATATAGTAAAAAATATATTTTCATGTATTTTATATCTAACGTATATTACCTTGTGTATATATACATATATTTTAACGGTGACTTTAAAGGTGAAATCATTGCTTCCTGTGCTCCCTCATTAACGAGAAAATACTCAAAAGCTCTTAACACTGTCACTGTCTTTATCACTGATGTTTCCATTATCAACCCTTCTGCAGATAAAGAAAAGAGAAGGAAAAACACGTGAAAGCAAGGAGAAGAGAGAAAATGAGAAAAAAAAACGGAAATATATTTTGTGTTCTAGAAAACTCTCTCTGAGCCGCATTTTATGTAGAGATGTTTAAAAAATAAAAATATTATATATTTGTTGAAAAGTTTGTTCCGAAAATTTTATTTTGAAAATTGTTTCAAAATATATTTCATGCATTCTGAAAATTCCACTACATTAATTTTTTTCTGGAAAATTTTTAAAATATATAATTTGAAAATCATATTTGCAAAAGGTAGAATATCATTTTAAAAGTTTGGAAGTGCGCAAAGCAATTGTAGGGCTGCAAGAAGTAAAAGGCGAAGTTAAAATATCAGAACAACTCAAGTTGATCTCTCCTCTAATATCGCTGTCGGTAATAGTTGGAAGATATTTTGAGGGTAGGATAGGCCAACTACCCTATGAAAATATGGAAAAAGGGTTGCACTGTGCCCTAAAAAATATGACAAACATGATAGCATGTCGATAATCAGTGTGTAAATTGAACTACTTCTGTAACTAATTAAGGCGTGTTTAAACTTTAATCATTGACAAGAGAATGTTTACCCGTCTTCCATTTTCACTTCTTTTGACTCCTCTTTACAAATAAATACTAGAGAAATTAATGTTATAACGTGTCCCTAAATGTAATATAAGTAATATAAACAAATTAATCAGGTTCCAATAATTGTTGAAAAAAGCAAGAGTCTTTTTTAAGGTGGCATGAATAGATTATAGGAAATGGTTTATAGTCTGCGTGATGGTGATGAACACGAATATCACGTGGATGTGTACAAGTAAAAACAATGAATGTGTGGTGGAAAAGTAGGTGTCAAATAGATAAAGGAACAAGAACCTAAGCAGTCCCTTAACAATCACTCTTCACACGTGACACTTCTTTTATACCTATAATAGGTAGGTTCATGAATTCCAACTTTAAATTTTAAAATTGTTTTTTTATCATAAGTTTATGAGTAAATACAAAGATTTTATGTTTTTTAATGTTGTGAAAAGACAAATCAAGATATTTTCTTCAACGAAGGTTAATTATTAACTTTTTCTATATGATATCTTTTAAAATTTATACATTTTTGTTATCAAATTAGTTTGATTGAAATTGAAATAATAAATTGAACTAAATTAATATTTTTGACATTTTTTTGTTCCTTAAAATTTAATTAATCTAGTATTATAATAAATGCTGAAACTAACATAAGTTTATTCTTAAAAACGGACAGTTATAATTTAAAATTGAAAATAACTTCAATTTAAATTTTTTCTTCTTATTTCCTGTGACATCCGGGCAAGGTCGAAGAGTGATCGTCGGTGCAATGCAAGAAATTCGATGTGCAAGGGACATAGACAAAGAGCGGCTCTTGGCAGGCTTCCAGTGGAAGGGACACATGGATGAATCGAACATACACTGGAATGAGAGGAATCTAGAGACTGTGTAAGTATGTAACTATACAGTTGAATGATAGCTTAAAAGGATTAATTTGGCTACTCATATCACAAAAATGCATCTACTGGGACAGTCAATATTCCCTTAATTACATTTTTACTTATTTTAATTATTAATTAATTATCAGTACTTTACTGTTGCTTAAATTCTTATGTTTATTAAATTATTTATTTATTTAATATATAGTAACAAAAGTAACCTTAAGCACGGGACAATTTTTTTACTTCACATTTTCTTACTTATATATACACCCAAGTATATACGAATTAAAGTTTTGATATATTTTTTTTAAATTAAATCAATTTAACTTTATCTGTTAGAACTAAGATAAATTTATTTTTAAAAACACATAAACTATGATTTAAAGTTTAAAATTTGAAATCGATCTCAAATTAAAATTTCGCATGTTCATTGTATTGTAATAATAAATGCTAGAATTATTTTTCAAGTATAAAATTTATCTGATTCAGTTATGATTAACTGTTAATTTTTATTGTATTTTAGTTTCTTATGTTCACAAATGTATTTATTTACTTAATTTATATCATTTAAAAAAAACGTTTACGTTATACTATATTCCTTACTTATATTAAGGTATCAAATTACCAAGTTTTTTTTTTCAAATAGATAATTTAAATCTTCTAGATAGCACTACTTCTATTTTAGTATTTATTTATCTCTCTTTTTTCTAATGAAATTGCATTTGCATATACAATTTTAGTTTATTAATTATGTTTTAATTAAATTGTGGTTACATATCCGATATTAGTTTATTATCATTTTTTTAATGAATTTGTCTTTAGATGTACAACTTAAATTTTGTTTCTTGAATTAGCAAAAATTATCCATCTTATTCAAACTGTATACGTCAAAAACTTGTTCTTGTAAAGAGTGTTACCAATCATATTAAAATTGACACCTCCAACACGATTTCGTTAAAAAATAATAAATTAAAATTGTATAGGTAAATATAACATCATTAAAAAAATTAATAATAATTTAAATTCATACCGACAAACATCACTTCTTGAAAAGAAAACTATCCAAACAAAATCCTATTATCTAAGACAATTTTTTCACTGTAATTTCGAACTATTTAAGTTATATAATAATTGATGACACGGTTTGTTCATATGATCCTTGCCGCTTGTGTGAGCTGTTTCACAATGTCAGAAAACAATAAAGTAAGGTATCGACATTAATGACACTGACCCACGCAACGCAGTCTTCAAACAAAGCCCGGACCCAGCCCAGCCCAGAGGAACCCAACCACGTACTTTACATATCAACACGTGGTTCAGACCACTCTTAAATAAATAAAACAAACGCAACTAGCGAGGAATATTACAATAAAGCAACGTCAAAGTCCACTCCTACATTATGCAACGCAAGGTTGTATGGTAGGTCATAGGAGGCAACCAAGTAAAGAACCAAAGCATTACGAAAATTTAAAAATAAAAAATTAAAAAGAAAAACACCCATTTATTCCTCGTGCTTCAATTTCCTTTTCCCTCCTCCTTCAATTAAAAATTCTTATCACTATATATAACACGGCAAACCCTTCCGCACCAACATTAACAACTTACAACGCATCAGCTTCCTCTAGTTTTTCTCTTCATCTTCTGCTGCTGTCCGACCCACCAATTCTGACTCTTCCTACACCGCCTTTCTTTTCTCTGCTGCCTTCATTTTAGTTTTCTCGCCTGAAATGTCCACCTCCTCGGAGTATTCAGGATTTTCCGGTAACCGGCCGGTGAAGACGACGCCGGAGAAGTCCACGTTCTCTCAGACTTGCAGTCTATTGAGTCAATACCTCAAGGACAAGGGTACATTCGGAGACCTTACTCTCGGGATGACACGCACCGTCGAAGCAAACGGTATGCATTTCATTTTATTTCCCATTAACCCTAATTTGTTCAATATTTTTAATTGTTAATTATTAATTCCGTTTTTGGTGAAACCGTGGGTTAGGATTTTATTTTTTTAAATTTAAATCTTTGCTGGGTTTGCTACCGTATTCAATTTCTCAAAATGTATTAGATACTTGTAAAAAACGGAACTGTTATAACTCATGGATTCCAAATTTCCCTTCTTTTCTGGAGAGGACAAAAATATCGTAAGAGAGGGAAGATGCGAATAAAAAAACGTGAAACAATTGTGTTTTGCTGTTGGATAGAAATTCTAACTGTGCGGATTTTTCTCCTTGAAATGTTACGGATATTTCTCTGATAAAATTGAAAGAAAAAAGAATGGATAAATGGTGTAGAAATGGCTATATATAACAGAACTGTAGCATGTGTGTTCCTTGTATGTTTTATACACGAGTTGTTGATCCTCCGTGTTTCACAGGTTCTTCTTCTGAAGCATCGTGTCACCCTCCAACAACCATGGAGTTGTTTCCCACCATCTTGACCCAAAGGAACCTTTCTGTTGTGGATTTCTTCTCTCCGGAGCCTGCTTATCTTCACCAATCAGAGCTTCCAACTTTTGTGAATATGTCAAGGTGTGTTGTTGTGTTTGTTTTAAGTAATTCTGAAGTCAAGTCCCTTTTTGTGTGCAACAAAGCAATGAACCATCATGACTGCATACTTAATAAGTGTTCCTGTTTTTTGTAATCATCTACAGTGGTTTCAAGTCTGTGGAGAAGGAGCCCAAATCTGCTCCGTTGACAATCTTTTATGCTGGACAAGTGATTGTGTTTAATGATTTTCCCCCTGGAAAAATGGAGGAGATAATGGCACTGGCAAGCAAGGGAATGCCCCAAAGCCCAAACTACCAGGCATATGCTCACACTAGAAACCAGCAAGGAAATCATACTTCCTTTGTTGCTAATGTCCCTCAACCATCTCCCATACCAACTGTTCGAGGTACTTTCTCTTTTTCTTTTGATCTCCACTATTGTGAGATGGACAAAGTTAATCAGTTGTATATAAATTTTTTTGTTCTGATCATAATTTTATCTCTATATAGATCTTCCAATTGCGAGGAAAGTTTCACTTCATCGGTTCTTCGAGAAGAGAAAACACAGGTAAGACTCTTGAAATAAGCAAATTTTGTTTGGTTTAGGCCATGTGCTCTTTTCCATAAAAATAAGAAATGAAAATGAATTGA